TTTGTGCACTATGAAAGTTGGAGGTCAAAGTTAAAATTTGAAGCCAAGTTTAAGGTCAAATATATGTATTATCCCTTTTATTTTTTACTATCTCAAACTCTCGATTATTATGTGTTGGCATTTGAGGAAGAAGCAGTCTGTCAACTAATGCACATGGTTCAATTGATTTGCCACCTTATTTCTTATAAGAGATTTTCGTTTTTTTTGTGTATAAAATGTTAACGGTTTAACCGATACGAACATATAATGATCAATGATAAATTGAAATTTTAATGATCCTAGAACTATTTAGCATATCTATAAATCGATAACTAAGTCGAATTGATAAACTTTAAAAGTGAACTGAATCAATGGATACGCAACCCTAGGGAGATCTAGTATGTAGCTTAGGTAAAAATGCATCCGCCCTTGATGTTTACATTTTCGTTTGGTTGGGAACAAGTTATCCCAGGATAAGTTATCCTGGGTTAGCTATCTTGGATAACTATTCTCACCATGTATATGGGATAACTTATCCCATCACTATGATATAAATGGTGGGATAAGTTATCCCAAACATGGCAACCAAACAAGATACAAAAACTTTATCCCATCACTATTTTCTTATCCCATCACTATTTATTTCTATCCCTCACGCCAAACGACCCCATTGGTTTTAATAAAAATTCTATCTTAGCTCGAAGGAAAGAACAATCAAAATCAAACCCTCCAAAGAATATGATTAAATAAATTTAACAATTCAACTCTTGGCAATATAATTTCTATTTAAACCAGGGTGTTATTGTTTTAAAAAGGAAATATATTTATTGGAGCCTGAAGGGTAGTTTAGTCACTCAACAATTCATTCAAAATGCCTTTTTTGGAACCAACATAACGTTTCATACATCCCAAAATTCACACTTACCATATTTTTTGCCTCTATATATATGAAAGGATGTAGTAGTAATCCATTTGTCTGTTTAAGTTTAAGCCGCCAACAATTCGCAGCAATGGCCTCTTTAACCTCTGAGTTCCTCAATTACATTGTTTTCCGCTATCTCACTGAATCAGGTAATTTAATTCTCATCTTCAGAATCTGTTATATTTATCCAAGTTTAATTGATGTTCTGTTTCTATTCTGAAATCCCCATGAATCCGAGTTTGAAAATTGGATCCTCTATCTGCATAAGGCAGGGATTAAGGTTTGCGTACACACCAACCTCCCCCACACACCCCTGTTTGTTGTTAGATGATGTTAAATTCTGCAAAGTAAACATTTTTTCTGTATCGAAAACATGTTGTTGTTGTTTGCTAGGTTTGATCCATTCATCCACTAGAATAATAAATTTTGAATTCAGTTAATTGAATGTTGTTGTTATTACCAAATTTAAATATCTCATTTAAATTTTCGTATATGTCTCTCCATTTTCAGATAGGATTAAATAAATTTAACTTTTTAACTCTTTCCCATGAGGAAGTAAATTTGATCGTGATGGACTAGTACCGATTCAGCATTTGCTTTTGGGTAGTATATATCTAATCGGTCTACTGGTTTTGCTGATATTCTTTCAGGATTCACACATTCAGCATTTGCTTTTGGATACGAGGCAGGGCTGAATAGGAGCACAATGGATGGACATCTAGTTCCTCCTGGTGCTCTTATTCAATTTGTGCAAAAGGGTATTCAGTATCTTGAACTGGAAACCAATTTGAGCAATGTAAGGCAAATATTTTAATATTCTGATTTTTCTATATGAAGTTTAGATCTTTTTATTACTCTGAACTAACCAATATAACTACGGAATGCAGGATGATACTGATATGGATGAAGACTTCAAGCTTCTAGAGCCTTTGGATCTCATTACAAAGGATGCAGATGACCTGCGGAAAATAATAAAAGAGAAAAAGGAGAAGGTTCAGAAAGATAAACCTAGGCGGAAGGATAAGGCGAATGCTGACCACAAACGAGAACCTACAAGAGAAAGGGAGATGGAGAAACAACAGAAAGAAAAAGAGCGTGAACATGACATAGAAAGGAATGATGTAATGGTTTTGGAAGGACATACATCTGAGGTTCGCCATGATTTCTCAATAGGTTATCTAATATATATCTTCTGTGTTCTGTATTCTATACTAACATTGCAATTCTCTTTTGTTTTTAAACTCGTGCTAGGTTTTTGTTTGTGCTTGGAGTCCAGAAGGGCCACTGCTTGCATCTGGGTAAGCATTAGTACCATTTCTTTCATTTTTGCTCTCGTATATGAATCAACTGATGTTCATAGTCATACTTCTGTTTTTTATTATCATAGTTAAAAGGTTGAGAGTAGTTTTAGACTTGTCTAATGAATCATGTCTATTATAGCTAACCATGTGTAATAACACGTTAGGTCTGGAGATGCTACTGCTAGAATTTGGACTATTGGAGATGGTCCATGTAATTCAAATATCCCAAATGTTTTGATTTTGAACCATTTGGAAAGTCAAGCAACTGAGGAAAACAAGGATGTTATGTCTCTTGACTGGAATGTGAGTTTTCTACTGCTTGTTTTGGGCTGACTTCTGTTGATCTATACTTTTCTGATGGACTTTCTGAAATTAGACTGCATTGCTTGTGGTTACATATTTGATTTTCTAGTTATTATTTGATCTTGTTTATATGAATTTTTCTTGTACAGAGCGAGGGTACCCTGCTTGCGACTGGTTCTTACGATGGCCAAGTCAGAATCTGGAAACGATCTGGTAAGAGGCATTGAGGAAAAACTTGTTTTGAAGATTGAATGTATAAATTGCCACCACTTTTCGTGTCTTTTTTTCTCTTACCGACTTTTCTTACAGGGGAATTGATTAGTGCTCTTAACAAACATAAAGGGCCAATCATATCTTTGAAGTGGAACAAGAAAGGTGATTATCTCCTTAGTGGTAGTATTGATACCACTGCCGTTGTTTGGAATGTGAAGTTTGGAGAATCGAAGCAGCAATTTGATTTTCATTCAGGTGTTCTGTCTCAATTATTCTTTATATTTTACCTCATATCTGAGCAAGGATAGATTTTGTTTTGTTTTGCTTATGTTCTCACTGTTGTTGTACAACCCCATGCAGGTCCATTGCTTGATGTTGCTTGGCGAAACAATGATTCTTTTGCGACCAGCTCCGCTGATAACATGATATATGTTTGTAAAGTTGGAGAGAACAAACCAGTTAAAACGTTCTCAGGACATCAGGTTATGCTTAACATGTTATGCAAGTTGAATTACTAGTTGAACTCTGAAGCTTAACATGTTATGTTTGATTGAAACTTTGATGTATCCTTCATGAATAGTTTTAAAGGTTGTTTACTTTGCCATTGCAGAATGAAATCAATGCTATCAAGTGGGACCCCTCAGGTTCCTTGCTGGCTTCATGCTCTGATGATACCACAGTTAAGGTAATTCCTATCTTGTCCTTCTAACGGTTAGGCGCATGTCACGTTTCGAAACGTGCAGCAAACATAAGCTTGGTTTTATTTAAATGGTATAAGGTAGAGAGGCAGCATGGTATGCCACTGCCCCTCGAGGATTTGGTCAATAATTTATTGTTTTTGTGCAGATATGGAGCATGAAACAGGATGTCTACTTGCATGATTTCAGAGAACATCGCAAAGTATCTATTTTTGTTCTTTCTTTTTCTTTGTTGATTCATTTAATCAAATCAGACATCAGCTACTAAGTAATATGTTTTTGTTAGGAGATACATACACTCAAATGGAGTCCAAGTGGCGCTGGTACAAGCAATCCGAATAATCAGTTGTTGCTGGCAAGGTACGCTATCTATTGCTATTGGTCATGTTTACAGTATTCTTTCTCATGTAGTGGTAGCACAAGGTTCTCGATTATATATTACATTCCCCTGCTTTTAGTTCTTTGAACTTATTGGTTTTGCTTTATTGTTTGTGTAGTGCTTCATTTGACTCTACCGTGAAGCTATGGGATGTTGAACTAGGACGTCTTCTTCACAGCTTGAACGGTCACAGGTAATGGATGTTAACTCATTATGTCTACTTGGAACGGACACAGGAGATAGTAAGGCACTCTTAATAAAATTCACACTTATTTAAATGTCAAATATTGATAGGCTTGAATATTATGGGGTTTGTTTACTAGTACTCAATTGAACTATCAATACGTGTGTATCTTTCTTTTAGATCATCAAAATCTTTGTATCGTTCCTGTTTAATGTTTTTGGTTTTTTCAGTAAGTAGGTTCTTTTCCATTTTGAATTCAGGGAACCTGTTTACTCTATTGCATTTAGTCCGAACGGTGAGTACTTGGCTAGTGGCTCATTGGATAAATGCTTGAATATATGGTCAGTGAAGGAGGCCAAGATTGTAAAAACTTGCAATGGCGATGGCTGCATTTTTGAAGTGTGTTGGAACAAGGAAGGCAACAAGGTTGCAGCTTGTTTCGCAAACAAGAAGGTCTGTGTGTATGATATGCGATTGTAGACGTTGAGGAATAGCTTTAAAAGGACTTGGGAACTGAAAATTTTCATTTTAGTTAATATATGAGCTTATTTGGACATATGATGTAAGACTTTATTTGGTATCATGCTTTCTTTCATTTATTTATCAATCATATAGAGGTTCTTTTCGGCTTGATACATTGTTAAGCTTGTCAAAATATTTCATTTAGACATTCGATCTAAGTCATGCTTCGATTGGATATGCCTAATTTGAATGTCAATATTCTGACTTATTAATAAAGTTGGTATCAAGCCTGATTTTTTATGACACAATATTCATGGGCTAATACATACAAAAAACTGAAGAAATCGTCTAATTCCTATAAAAAGTCCCCAAAATGGACTCTAAAAATTGCAAGACTGTGTGTGTTGCTCCCAAAACTCCCCACGGAGGGTTTCATAAAGGTTTCTCAAAAATATTGTTCGAAAGTCATATCACCAAACTAATCATGGACACACGAAAAATGGAAAAAATTGCATTATTCCTATAAATTGGCACTAAATTCCCAAAATGGACTCTATAAATTGTGAGATTGTACGCACTTTTTCCCCAACTCCTTACGAAGGGTTCTATAAAGATTTCACAAAGAAATTATCTGGAAGACATATCACCAAAATATTCATGTGCACGCACGAAAAATTAAGAAAATCGCTTAATTCTTGTAAATTGTCCCCTAAATGAGTAAAATGGAGTCAAAAAATTGTGTGATTGTATGTACTGCTCCCCCAATTCCCTACGGAGGGTTCCGTAAAGGTTTCGCAAGGAAATCATCTGGAAGTCATATCCCCAAAATATTTATGGGCTAACACATACGAAAAATTGAGTGAATCGCCTAATTCCTATAGATTGTCCCCTAAATGTCCAAAATGGACTCTAATGATTGTGAGACTGTACATACTGATCCTCCAATTCCCTGCGGAGGTTCTGTAAATGTTTCCATATATGTAGTATATTTATTATCCTGAAACAATATTTTTTACTAGTGATGTAATAACTTTAGATTTTTCTATAGATACATAAAAAATAATTAGCTTATTGTGAAAATTAAAACTAAATAAAGACTTGTATTGTATTTACTAGTTTTCCCACGAGTTGGTGGGGTATTTTTTTTAGATTGTCCCAATACCTTTCGAACGCTCTTTGCACACAATTGGAGCTCTTACACAAAGAGGGCCCAATATCTTGTCTTTTATATCTTTCAACCATCTTTTGCTGACATATGGTACTATGCAACATTTCTAGATAGTCATCTAACTCAAGCGAAGCAATTTCGAGATTTCTTAAAAAAATCACAACACTGCATATTTGATTTGCTAAGATGAGTAAAACTGTAACAGACTTGTGTAACACTATTAGTATAAACAATCTTAGATTCTGAACTTTCATCGATAAGACAACTCTTGGCAGATCTTTTATTCCTTTTCTAACAATTTTTGTCCATCTCTTCAATATGTATTCCTCAAGAATTGCACATGCTTTATATTGGAATGAATGATTCATAAATCAAACAATACTTGTTTATTTGATATATTATAAATATTAAAAGATACGACATCACCAAAAAAATTGTAGTCAATCCGGAGTCGACCATCTTTCCATGAATCAAGTTGAACATCTCAATAAAAGAAAGTCTCACTCGCTTGTCTATTTTTAAATTTGTTAACAACTCTTAAGAATGACCAACTTACTGGTGAGACTAATGAAAGAGGCAAATTTCCACCTGGTGGTGCAATGGGAGGATAAAGACACAACTGAGGGAACTTAGAAAAATCCAAAATTTTCAAGTCAGATGCATCTGAACTACCTGGATTTGTACCCACCCTAATAATGAACAATCTCTTCAACAACGTTTGGGAATTTTCGAATGTCAAATCTTCCGACACGGAAGAGTGCTTCCGTTTAAGGGTGAAATTTCAATGATTTTTTATCGCGTTATTGGTTCGACCCTGTAATATCCAGCAATGTGAAATAACTATGAAAAGGCTTAAAATTTGAAATTTTCATTTTTGGAAAGAATTTTAAAAAGGCATAATACATATATTGGCCCCTAAACTTGGCTTCAAATTTTAACTTTGACCTCCAACTTTCATAATGCACAAATAGACACTTTAACTATCCTACCTTTAAATAAATAAACACGCGATTTTTGGAGCCAAAAGCGTGAAATGCAAACGCTGCCACTTGTATTAGTGACCCACTCAATGGCTGCCAACTATTCAATGCATGTGGGCCCGTTTTCCTGTCTATTTGACACCTTTTCAAATAATTTCTCTTTATTTCTGCCTCACAACTTCTTCCTTCACTTTCATTTTGTGGTAAATTAATATTTGAAAATGTCAATTATTCAATTTATAATTTATTTGTCTTATTTCTTTTTTTAATTTATGTGTATTCAAAGATTACATTTAAGATACTATAAATTATTAGACTTAATATTTAAAAAAATTTATTACAAATTTGAAAATTACGTAATATACACTATTAATTACAATAATTACTAATTTAAAATATTTTTTCAATCTAATAAGAGCCTACAAACACACTATACGTTATATTTAAAAGTACTATAAATCATAATTAAAATATAT